GTTATATTATAACAGAGATTGGCTTCGAATTTTATCCCCTGAAAAGCTCTAACAGGGAAAGTTACTCCGGACGTTGAATTAATTTTAAAAAGGATAACGGTCGACGGTTGTAGAACAGAATGAAAAATCTAAGCTTCGCGGAATTTAATCTACGAACAAAACACGATAGTTCACGACGATGGATAGAAATTCTGGAGCTGTTGGGATTAGAGGCGAAGTTAGAGCGAAACTTTTGCGGGAACAGAAGGAAACTCGGACTCGAGAGTTGCGTGGTACGCGGTATCGTTCACCAGAGTGTGAAAACGAGGGTGTAAGGCACACGGAGTCGGAAGATTCGAACGCGGCTAATCTGTTGACGACAGAAAATTTTCCTCGATGATTAAGCGCTTGTCAGACATATGCTGTCTTCATTGGTTCCCATTATGGGGAGCCACGCGGTTGGAGCGCGTTTCCGTGAAACGGACCAACCCCTCGGATGCGACGAGCACCCGCCACGGTCGGCTAATTTGTCGGTAGTGTAACTTTGGTCTGCCCTTTAAACCACGGTTTTTTTTTTTCAAGCTACGTTTTTATACACGCGTCACGCCGAAACACGAGTAATTTCCGCGTTGGACCCCATAATCACGGCTGGAACAGAGATCCTCGTGACGATGCATATTTGACGATACACCAAAGTAAATAGATCGCTCGTAATTTATTTTCCAAACGAATACAAGCGAGTAAAGTTGCTTTTAATTTTTGATTAGTTGATAATACGTTTTATGGTAACGCTTGAGCATCCGGTCACGCGTTAATACGTCATTTTTTCTATTGCATTTAATACCAGGTCACGCGATAGATCGAAACACTAGATTGGAGCGTAATGACCGGTGTTAAAGTGTAACATACAAGTTAAGAAAGTAATAAAAATGGAAGCATTCATGTCGGGGGTACAATTGCGACCACGGAACTCACGGACAAGAATTCCGGGAGAACAACCCTGCCTTCGATACGCTAATTGATTGGTTCCATGGTTGGAAACTTTGATCGAAAGAACCACACAAATAAAAAGCTAACAACATCGTCGCAGAACTTTCCCGGTATTAATTTGGAACAGTAGTTCCCGAACTTTTTCAAAGGCGGCCACCGCGATGAAAGTGAGAAATTCTTGCGCCGCAAATTCGTGGACAAAACACTTCCCTCGAGTTCGTATCGATCAATTAAAATCAATTTGCGTGTCTCGGTGTTAGCGTTTAGATACAAAAATGTCCTCCCCATAAGTAAATAAATGCGCAACGTTCGAAAAAAAAAAACCCCCGGCACGAGTGTATTCGAAAGCTTGAAATTGGACAACCGATTGAATTCGAGGACTTTTGGTCGCGATGTTACTTTTCAATCGCTTTGTACAAATTTTTGTAAATGTTTATACAATTTATTTGCCGTATCAATTTCGCAGTTAAAAGTGTCGTAGCACGGTAAACTTTTGACGCGTTCGTAACCGGTGAAACTCATTTTAAACATCACGCCTGTTATTTGCAAACAGCGGACTGTCCGACGAACGTGTTCACATATTACTGCGGAGCGTCATCGTTGCGTAGAATGGTCGGATCGCCTCGATATCTCCCAAAACGCGGCGAGGGTGATAAAACATACGTTCTGATCGAGAAGATTTCGAAAACTTGTATTGTTTGCAACGTGAACAGAATGGTTGTCCAACCACTAGCTTTCCTCGATAGTTTGGAGGGCAAATTTCCAAATTTCCAGGCATTCTTACGAGAATTGACTAGAGTAGTGATTTCGAAATCTTCTATTGTTTGCAATGATAAACAGAATGGTTGACCAACCACTAGCTTCCCTCGGTAGTTTCGGGGGTAAATTTCCAAATTTCCAGGCATTCTTACGAGAATGGTCTAGAGTAGTGATTTCGAAAACTTGTATTGTTTGCAACGTGAACAGAATGGTTGTCCAACCACTAGCTTCCCTCGATAGTTTCGGGGGCAAATTTCCAAATTTCCAGGCATTCTTAAGAGAATTGTCTAGAGTAGCGATTTCGAAAACTTCTATTGTTTGCAATGATAAACAGAATGGTTGTCCAACCACTAGCTTCCCTCGATAGTTTCGGGGGCAAATTTCCAAATTTCCAGGCATTCTTACGAGAATGGTCTAGAGTAGCGATTTCGAAAACTTGTATTGTTTGCAACGTGAACAGAATGGTTGTCCAACCACTAGCTTCCCTCGATAGTTTCGGGGGCAAATTTCCAAATTTCCAGGCATTCTTAAGAGAATTGTCTCGAGTAGCGAAAGGTGGGGTAGAGAAAAAGGACGGAAAAGTTATCCAGAAATTCAGAAGACAGTCGGTGGAACGCTCGCGAGATTCATCCAGCATCGAGGAGACGAGCGAGGGCCGAGGACGAAAAGATCAGTGGAGGGAGTAGAGGGAAAGGGGAAGGGGGAGGTCGAAGAGGAGGATAAGGAGGAGTAAGAAGAAGAAGAAGAAGAAGAAGACGGGCGTGTGGCGTGCGTTCGTCGTACGGGACGTGTTATTAGCCGGCACCCTCTTTCACGTTGCCCCGTTCCTCCTCGAGCATCGCTCGTCTCGTCTCCTTTTTTCTCTGATTTCCTATGCGGGGGCTAGAAACGCGTTTAATTAACATAGCTGGCGTGGCTGCATCCCTCTTCTCTTGGGTGTCGAGCAGCCAGTCAGCTTTCACGGGCCATTGCACGCACGATACACGCACCACGGACTACGTTTCTTTCTCCCCCTCGCTCCCGATCCGGATGTACAGCGTGTGGGTGTGATTTAAATGTTAACACGAAATTTCGAGATCGATGGCCCGCTAAAAAATACGACGCACGGTGCCTCTCGTGGCGGTCGTTAGGGCTGCAAAAAGCCACAGGGCCAGTTTGTTGCACTTCCTATATCCGATCGACGATCGACGGAAGCTTTGTCCCTTTAAAACACTTTAACCTACCGCGTCTGTGCGTTATTTGCATTTTATTGGGGCAGTATCTCGGAATAGTGTCGACACCAAATGTTTAAAATCAATATTTATTTTTAAAACGAAGTCTCAGGCCGGAAATACAAGATACTATCGTATCAAAAAATTGATAGAAAATATTGAGTCTAACGGAGAATTTATTTTGCTCGATCGATGGGCATACTGCTCGAAAATATCGTCTAGTGTCTAAAAATTCTAATTTGATTCTATGTAGAATTGAATTTTTGAATAAAAAGCACTACACGATACAATCCAACTTCAATTGATGAGGATGTTAAAATGCTTTCGAAATTTATCTTGATTACGATACCTTCCTATCTTATAATTAATTAAGAAAAAAGTATATCCCTTCGAGAACCATACGTTATAATTTTATTAAACAGAGAGAAGATTAACGCTTAAATCCGGCCGTATATATAGACGCATTTTCCGTGGTGTATTTCGAAGGTGACTGCGCATGCGCGTTTGCTCGTCGAGTGCCATGTGGCTGATGTGGCCCTCTGTCCGCGGCGGATATAATGCACGCCTACCACGGAAATGCTCTTTTTGACGGATCGCCCGACTAATTTGGTCGTTGTCACCCGGTATGCTCGAGGATTAATGGCGACCACCTAGCCTACTCTGCCACGAATTCCTTGGAAATACTTTTGCGAGTCGAGACGAACAAACGGAGGGTCCTTAATTAAGAATTCCGAATAGGAACAATAATAGTGGCAACGCTACCCTCGATTTGTTCGCTTCGACTCGTGACCATGAGAGCACGTGCTAGCGAGAAGCGTGTCTATTCGTATCTACTTTCTAACCACTACGCTTTAACTACGTTATTCGCGAAATTCTATAGCGTTTAGTGCCCTACCGGAAGGGCAGACGTTTCCTGTCGCGGATACGACACAAATTGCTTGCTACTTTTTAGGTTACAATTCGAATATTCGTCGATGATTGTCAATGGCGCCAATTTACGCCGGGAGTTGATACGAAGTATCTCTAAATTTACCGTACAGCCCATTAGGCGATTCTTTTTACGAAGATGAATAAAAAATGTGGAATAAAAGTTTCCCGCGCGAGCTCCAGTTTTCGAGTAAATCGACTTTGAAAATTTGTGGATGGGAGCCACTTAATTAACTTTGAACTGCACGTATCTCTCGGCGAAGTCAATATTTTTAACTCTAAATTACTTATTCTCTTTGTAGTGAAATTCATGTAAATGGGTTTTAGTCAAATACGACCGTGATCCATGCATCTTTCAAATTAATTAGGTTGGAAACAAAAAGACCACAAAATTGTATACCACGTTTTCGATACCCTATTACAGTTGATATTCATTTTGTATATCCAGTATTACTATACGTGTCAGGATATTAGGTTTCATTCACGATGATAGTTACAATAATAAACTTATTTGTATATTATTTGAGATTGGTACTTACGTTTCCTTGCAGAATAAGACGGAATGATTTGATTCAAAAACTCACCGGTCGAGAAGTCCTTAAAAGTTGACGAAACTCATCTGGAATTGCCGTTTCCTCTTGATCTGTCCTCTTTTCTTGAATCGCCAATGCTGTTTTATAAAACTGTTCACTTTGTTACGTTTTAACAATAAAAATTAACTAACACGATTGTGCGACGATCACGCGGGTCCTGTGCTTCATTTTGCGTGTCAGCCTAGTAGCGCCATCTCGCGAACTTTAGAGAAAACATTCCTGTTCTTTATCGGCATAAAATATTACACGCGGCAAATTCAAACATACACATTCCTGTTATAAGGCAAAATATAAGTTAAATATAATTATGTAATATAGATAGTTCATTTTTTTATGATGTTATTTGACGAACATTGACGAAACATTCAAAATGGAATTAAGGGAAAGAGGGGGAAAAAATACTTATTTTTCAAACATTCCTTTTTTATGCACTTTCTTATATTTTATGAAATACATGGTACATATGCATGTTTGATGTATCATTACAATAAAATATGAAATATAATCTTGTAGGTTTCACGTTATATAAAATACGCTGTGCAAGATATATATTATTCTTGTTAGGATAAAAGTATAAAACAAAGCTTATGTACTAATGTATTCGCACAAATGTTTAAAATAAAAATTTTCTGGATGCTCGTTAGTTCACGTAACACGTGCAAATTAAATATTGGACATCCGTCAGATTAGAAAAAGATCGTTTTTATAAACACTTAGATTCTATACTTACGAACTGAATTCATGCACAAGCTGATTTATACCGATTCGCCATAATAGCCACAGATTTATCGTTCGTATATTCTTGCATTCAAAAAAATTTAAGAAACGAAAAATCGAAGAAATTCAATCCAAACTTTATGTTAAACGCGAATACTTTATTTTCAGTTCAATAATACAACGTAGAGTAGTCATTAGCAAAATATCGTTACAAAATATTTGTATCATATTTAAATAAGTGTTGCAAATACAAAAGTGAATGAGAAAGCTAATTATAGGTAACAACAATATCGCAATACTGCCGGTATAAAAACGACTAGAATAATGAAACGAGAAACGAGAAATTACAAATAAATTTCCATGGTCGACTATAACTTTCACAACACAAACGGTCCGTGTAGGATTCAAGCATACATAAGCACTCATTTAACACATCGAATACAATAATCGTTGTATGATTAATCTGGAACGGCTTCGGTATCACATATTATTAATAGTTAAAGACCGGGGTACCGATTGCATTGGAACGGAATTCAGTCCTTACGAATATTTAAAGAGTTACTACTCGTTTTACCATTATTTGTTCTTCTTCTATGCCTTACTATACTCCCGTTAAGTCTCGATAAATTTACTTGAAATGCAACGCTCTATGGTAGTACGATACTGATGGCCAAAAAAAAGTAATGAAGTACAAATGATGGATCACAAATTGCTATTATACTTGGCACCATGTGATCAAGCTCAATAAATTTGTCGATGTGAGTCTAGGACTTATTTCAAGGAACTTGGGAAGGATTTTATTTTAGCCGCGTTTAGGGCAGCGGTTAGCTTATGCTCCTCTTGCAGATTGGAATCCTGTATCACGTTTTGATACGTTCGAGTGATCCTATCTTTGTCGCGAATGGCAAGATCCTGCCATTCTTTCTCCAAACTGTCCATAAAAGTCTCTCTTTGCTCTCGCGCGTCCTTGATGGCGGATCTATCGTCCTCGTGCACCCATTTCTGCCACATGTCCTTTGCATCCTGACTGAAAACGTTATAAACAAACGATTGCAACATCCCTAATAACTGCTACAGACTCTCTATTCCAACCATACATGTCTAAAATAAAAATTATATATATATAAATCAAGCTTGGTTCGTAATCGCTGCTCGAGCAACGCGGAACATTTGTGCAGTTTACGGATGACGTAATTAACATTCGCGAATCTCAAGAATGGTCTATATAATTTATATCTAGCGATTTTAACCTTGAAGAACGTCCAAGAACAGGTAGGCCATCTGAATTCAATGATGAACACCTGAGAGGGTCAGTCGAAGCAGATCCGCGACTATCGACTAGAGAAATTTGTAAATAGTCTAGAAACAACCCCCATACTGTTATGTTAAACCGTTTCCACCCATCGGGGCAAATCTCTAAGTACAGTATCTGGGTGTCCAAGAAGCTATCCGCGGAAAATCTACTTCGACGAACAAACATCTGCAATTTGTTGCTCACGCGTCATCACGCTGAACCGTTTCTTCATCGAATCGTAACCGGGGACGAGAAATGGGTCTTGTACGAAAACGTCGACAGGAAGAAACAATGGTTCGGTCCGCGAGAAACTCTGTTACCCGCTCTCAAGGCAGATATGCACCCGAAAAAAGTGTTATTGTGCGTTTGGTGGGACATGGTCGGAATCATTCACTTCGAACTTTTGGATACGAATCAAGCAGTTACAGCTAACATTTACTGTCAACAATTGCACCGTTTACGCGAAGCCCTAGCTGTTAAACGATCTGCATTGGTGAGCAGAGGAGATGTCATCCTGCATCAGGACAATGCTACCCCGCACGTTGCAGGAGCCACTAAGGAAGCACTGAAAGAGTTTGCTTGGGAAGTTCTCCCACACCCGCCGTACAGTCCGGACTTGGCTCCTTCCGATTATCATCTATTTCAATCGCTTCAACAATTTCTCAAAGGAAAAATATTCAATTCCAAGGAAAATGTCAGTAACGTGTTGTCCGGTTTCTTCGACTCCAAGAAAAGAGGATTTTACAGGAAAGGCATTGAAATGTTGCCAGCTAGGTGGGCGAAAGTTATCGACAACAACGGTGAATATATTAAAAAATGATATTGCGTTTTTATAAATAGCTGTTATTTAAATAACCAGAATTATTCTTGCCAATCTAATATTAAGAATCTCCTTCGAGAATGTATGTCTATTCTTTCCGAGCCAACAATAGCAATCGCTGATCTAACTGTTTACCTCTGTTTTTATTTATTTAACATATCGATTGCCAGTTTTCCATGACTAAAGAGACGTCCTCGACATTTGTTCGGGTTATATATTCGATGGCTTCTGTTCAAAATAGGGTTACACTTCGTAAGTATCACGGTTCTTCCGCGGTAAACAATGTTGCAACACGTAAGTTCAAAGTATCGGTCATCAGCGACCACTGCGACAGCCAACGCGTCGAAGCACGGTCCGCTGAACGCGGGAATCATAAATAGAAATTTTCTAGATCGTTCGGGTTAATAGCGATCCAGAGGTGTCTGTCGCCAAATATTAATTTTTCCGAACGCGTCAGGGGGATCCAATTGCAGATTGTCATCCTGTTTACGATCTATCGAGGAACGAGTGTGGGGGACGTATAGGATGACGAACGTGTTGGCACGCATTTACGAAATGCACGATGCGCGTAGCGAGCAACCTCCGCCGTTGAGACGTGAATGACTCACGGTTTTTGGTTGCAACATCGAACGGAGTTTGACTAATTTGAGATGCAGGAGGTGCCATTCGTCGTCCTAGACCCTTAACATTGATCACGGTCACGTGCCGAGATCACGACGAATCGATTCGATCACACGTAACGTATCGTGTTAAAATTATAAAACATAACTGAAGTATCGGGCATCGGGAGTATTTTTGTACATTGGACCTCGACGTCGACACGGTAGGACGCGGTCGAAGGTGTCTCGAGAGGAAATACCTTCCGTCGATGGTAAGCCACAAAAATATACATACATACGTTTCTTTTAACCAAATGGTCATATTATGTTCACTGCCCATGACCCGTATATGGGTCATGACACCATGCTTTTGGATACGCCGTTGAGAGTCCGGACAGTGAACACGTTTCAAGAAAGTTGCATCGATTCGAGGCACAGAAAAATAAGCAGCCATTTTAATGAGTGGAAAGCTTACCTGTACATGGTGGTGTCTGTGCAGATGCTCTCGCGTTCGGCAAGCTCCGCCTCCCTCTTACCGATATTATGCAATCCCAGCTTCTTCACCTCCTCGTCGAGGTCGAGATTCTCAATATTGTAGAGCTGCTTCTCGCGTATCAGCTCCACTCTGTTCCTCATGTCCCTGAGACGCAGGGCCTCGTCCCAGCAGTGTTTGTTGCACGCGTGCTGTTCCCTCTTCGCGAGGTCCTCGATCTTGGCCTTGAGCTCGCTGTGAGTCAAGTACATAAACATCTGCTTGGAGAGGTTCTTGTCGCCGGGGTCCATCCGGAGCCAGGGCATGCTTTTCTCGACCTCGAACTGCCGGTTGTCCTTCTTCTTCGTGTCCTTCGCGTTCTGGCACTCCACCATGGCGGTCTGCCTGTCCACCTCGTCCTTCTCCTGTTGGACGCACTCAGCCTCCGACTGTTCCGTCTGTGGAACCTCGGCGTTCTCCTGCGACCATTCGGGCGCCGACTTCTCTAAATACTCGTCCCTTCCGTTTCTTTGGCCTATGCTGTCCCTCCGCGGAATAACGATGTGCTTCGAGCCGCCGGATTCCAATCCGGCCGCCCTGACTTCCTGGTGGCTGTTCAAATGCGGATCCCCTTTCCCGTTCTCTTTGCTATTCTCGTAAACGGGAACCTCGTGGTTCAGGGAACCGTATCTTATACCGGGCGAGCCGGTGGAACTTCTGCTCGGCGGCCTGTTGTCCGGCACGTAGTCGTCGAAATCGTCGGTCCTCACGTTCGTGTTCTCCAAGCTCTTGCGAGCGTACCGCGCGGAGAACTTTGGATTCGGTAACGCGAAATCGTCGATGTACTGAGACGTCGGCGATTGCGAGGCCTCCTGGTGAGCCTCCTGTTCGCCCAGCTCCTTGTTATCGTGCTCGTGCTCGCTCATCTTGTAGCTTCTGCGATTAGAACTCGTCGAGTATTGAAGATTGGTGCCCCTGAGGGTGCTCCAACGCGGGCTGCTGGAATCCGTGGGACAAACGAAGTAGGATTGAAATCGCCGGCAGGTTTTCGGGTAGTACAGACTCTGTTCCGCCCTCTTCTGCTTGAGTTTCTCCTTCAGCTGCTCCAACGAAGTCTCCTGCGGCCTGGTCAACCTCTTTCGCTCCTCCAATTCCCTTCTGTAAGTTTCTTCCTCTTCCCTCAGCAGGTTACGCAATTTGTTTCGTCTCGTGAGTAGCTTCTCGGTCTTCTTGGCCTTCTCGAACTCGCCCTTCGGATCGAGGCTCTTGTAGTTCCAGGAATCGTATTGCTTGGCGACTCTGCACGCCCGCTCGAAGTACTTTGCGGTCTGCTGGTAGTAGTCGTACTTCCGGAACGCCTCGTTTTGTTTCTGCGCGGCCAATTGGTATTGCTTCTCACGAAATCTGCTTACCCTTTAACAGGACAAGTCTCGCTGATGATCTCTTAGAAACAGTTGTGTTCTAACGGGGGAAACGAACAGGATAAAATGATTAAAAGATACATCCAACGGATTCGAAGATTAACGAAGAATTTATTAACGAAGAACGACGATGGCTCTTTGTTCTCGTGAACGACAAAGAACCATGGTCGAGTTATTCTTTGTTACATAATTCGATCAACGCAATAACAATTGGTTTAAAAGAAATTCTATTTCCTACTGTACACATGCTCTCACGCTTCTATAAATTGTAACGAGCACTTTTGCTTTCGAAAAGTACTCGTGCTCGAGTGGCACTAGGCGGCGAAAAAATTTGGAGGACCGACGGTTGGAACGACCCTGAAGATCGATCGACCTTCGCATCGATCGGCACTTGGTGCATCGTAAACAGACGCGGTATACGTGGTAGGATCAAGAAGAGGAGGCGTTTCAACCGAGAGAGTCACCGAGAGCATCCTAGAAGAAGAGGACCGTCTTCTATTTCGAGCTTGCGTCTCTCTGTGACGTCACGTGGACGAAAATACCGCGCGGTTAGGGAGGTGCAGTCGTGGCCCTGATGTGTGGTCCAGGTCTCGATCTTTCCCAGACTCCCAAAAATTCTCAACCACTAGGCACTTGGACGCTTCCTGCAGACCGTCGGGAGTCGTTCGTGGACCAGCCATAGGTCTCAGCCCGTTCGACCGCGACTCTATCCCGGGTCCAACGGGATCAGTGAACCGCGAGGAGGAATAGTATACGGAAGATTTGCCCGTGTGCGGAACGTCTCGAGGGAAGTGGGTCGCGGCTCACCCACGTTAAAACCAATCCCCCACCTTTTCGTTCACGTCGTCCAGGAGTCCAGCCAGTGGCGGATCGAACACAGAGGGTACACGTCCGTGGTCCCCTAAACTCAGTACCCCGGAGTGTCGTCAGAGTGGATCGATCGGAACCGAAAGTCGAACGCGAGAGGAAGAACCCTGTGACAGGATTAAAGAAGAATGCCCGGTGCCGGTGGCCAACCACCGCAGAGGACCACCTTCAGGCCACCATGGGTCAAGGATGGTCCCAATCCTCTGCCTATGCCTGCTGCACCCTGGACCCTCAATTCCAGGAGGGACTCCAAAACGAAAGCTGACGAACCACCGGCGTTCACACAAGTCACTCTAAAAGTGAGTTCGAATTCAATCGCCATCGACGTCTTAACACCGTGCATTTCAACGTTGTTTACCACATTTCTAACTATTATATAATTCACAATATTTATAAAGTTCAGACTCTTCGTAGAAACGTAGAGCTTGGCTAGCAGTACTGTTAAAAAATTATTCTAGCTTAATGGTACATCAATTCTGCGATCGTTCTATTGGAAACGAGAACAATCGAAGAGCGATCGCCGCCTTCTGCAGTCTTTTACCATTCAGATATTGGGTTTCAAAGTCACCGGACTTCGGTATTAATAGCCCCGGGTGGGTGTCAAGTAGCAAGTTTGCGTTACAAACGTTTCGACGATTTACAAGGGCGTTGCATCCGAAACGTTTTTACCGAAAAACACGTAGGTTCTCGAGTTACGCGAATTAGCGCGATGACTGTGCCCATACTTAAGTCCATGTACAAATCTCGCGTGCATCTGCGCGTTAAATTTCCTTTTTCTCTCGATATGAAACTTTGAGACTAAGATTACGTACCGAAGGTATTACAGGAAGACAGTACTGGGTCAGATATTTTAGTCAGTCTTGGTAATGCTCGCGACTAAGCCTTAATTAATCAACTCTGTCCACGTCTCGTTTCCATTCTCCCTTGTAACACATCCGTTCTCGTACGATTCAACTTAGAGCGGAGAGCTTTCGAACGAATTAACCGCATTTACCGAATTAACGAGGGCCGGTTACATTGATTTACGGCTCTATCCACAGTTCGTGATCTCGATTTGTTTTTTTTTAGAATTAGTTCGACCGTTCGCACGACTCGTTAGGATTCTGGTGCCCCCTGTTTATTTGTATATTTTACCACGCATACCGATCTCGAAACGCATACTTCCGATATTCTGGCGCGGTGCCAGGCGAACGGATATCTCCGTTTTGTAGAAAAACGTGATGCACGATATTTCAAAGGCACGTGGCCACGACGTGTATCGTTCAACGTCACGATATTGTTTACAATTGTCGCGCGCGCCGTTAGATCATCGACAAGCCTGATCGAGATTTACGCATCAGAGTACTAGCGTCGAATTTATGGTTGAAAGTTTTCCAACAAAAGATTCGAGAAAGTTCCAAAAATATCGGGTTATTCGTTTACGTCGAGAAACGTCTTCTAAGAAACATGAAAGTCATTCTTTTATATGGTTAACAGTTGTTGAGCTTGTGGCGTGGGGGGCGACGCCACAAGCTTGTTGAATTATAGTACAAGTGTTTAACTAGCCTCAAGTTTAAAAATTTAACTACCACAGGACTGATGAGATTAAAAGTCAATGAATTGGACTTGAGAAAGTGTTTAAACATTATTGATCTAGATAGATATTTGTTATACGCGCATATACGTTGCGGAAAAGAGTCGGATCAATTTGCCTTTCTCGATATGAGAGATCAGCGAGAAGGCTAGCCTCTCGCGGGTCCTCGCATATAAGCCTCTGGGTCACGATTATTTAAAGAACACGCGTTTCTATTTCAAATGTCTTGCCAGCTACGTCTTCCGCCAGTTTCTTAACGAGTTTATATCACGCTTTCGCGCGAACGTACCGTTAAGTTGCGACGATTTTACAAGTTTCACGCGTAGAATCTATCTATTTTTGCGCCCCATTGACCGCCGGTCACGCACCCAGATGCATCGCGACTTCCGTTCGCGGGATAGCTCGCCGCGACACGTCGATGCACGATCGAAGAGATCCGTTCGATCGAGAGAGAGATCGAAATTTCTAGCGCCGAAACGATCGAGAGGGAAGTGGCGATTCGGATTATTTAAAGACAACCGAACGAACTTCGATACTTGCCAAGAGAATTCTCGAGACTTTCTTTCTTTAGGAAGAACCGTGGGTGGGGGGAGCACGTTCTTTTTCCTTTTCTATTTTTTAACGCAACCACCTTTCACGTTACACCGCGAGCCGCTATTCTTTTGTTGCAAATCAACGTGTCTCGCAACCAGTCGTAACGGGCAGATCCGAGACACTGCGTTGCAGAAGTAAATTTTCAATCGCGAACAATGAGGTGGTTGTGCGAGACGAATTGAACACGCTGATAAATGACGATTGAAGCGCAAATGTTGCTGGTACAACGAACAAAATCTCTAAGTTCTTCGATATCGACGAATAAAGTAGAATTTTTCGAAACAATTTGCTTTAGAACAAAGTACCGCTTGAGGCACGATTTTGTAATAACAGTAGAGTGCCGTAAAAAGTGTGCTGAATTGGGTTAAAAATAGTGCGTGGAAAAAACGTAACGGATAAGAAAACTTTGCGTGTTTGTTCTAATCGCAACGTTTCTCAATTTATAGAGTGTAGCGAAACCGGAACTGAAGCAGCCCGCGGCGGACGTGCAGCCGCGGAAACAGAGTAAAATCACAATAATCCCGTCGCAGCCGAAAAGCGAGAAAAATACGGACGGTCAGCCGGCGCAGCTGAAAAGCGAGAAAAATACGAGCGTTCAGCCGGCGCAGCCGAAAAGCGAGAAAAATACGAGCAGTAAACCGGCGCCGACGAAGATCCGCGAGAATGGACGACAAGAGCCAAATTCGAGGCCACAGCTCGAACGACAAGTTCGAATCGAGAGGTCTCGATCACGGGGTGACACTATACCTCTCTCCAAGAGCGAGAGCACCACAGGTAACAGCTTGAACACCGCTTCTCTAGCAAGATCCTGTCCTTTTCAATTCGTTTCAATGTTCCTCGCGTGCTCCGGGGTCATCCTAAAAAGCAAAAATCCGTCTCAGAAACACGTGCGTAAACGAATACGGTCTGTGTCGTCGCGTTCGATCACTTCGTTCGAACGATCGTTAAATGCTACGCGCTCGAGGCAACGTACTTACCCCCTACGGTAAACGTTTTTCCTACCAAAACACGCGACACGAGAAAAATCCACGGCTCGCTTCGCCCACGGTAAAAATAAGATTCTTTTATAAATAGGCGCACCGACGTTGTCGAAGAGCTCGTCGAGGGCAGCGATCCCGCCACCGCCGCCGCCGCGACCACCGCCTCCGCCCCCGGGCAGAACGATCCTGAAGGACCTTCCGCCCCTGAGCCAGACGCAACACCAGAAACTGGAGATGCTGAAGTCGAGGCCGCGTAAACGTCCCGACTGGGCGTGCATGATGAAGGAGGTGGAGAGCGGAAGGACCTTGAGGCACGTCCAATGCAACGACAGGAGCGCGCCCCTGATCGAGAGGGTGAACAAGGTGGTCACAGCTGATCCAGCAGGTGATCGTCGATCGAACTTCGATTCTGCTCAGATCCCCCTCGGGCGATTCTCTTAGGAGGAACCGGGTTTCACCGTGTTGGTCGATTAGTCACCGCTAGACCCTTTGTGCTGTTGTTTCCCGCTCAACCCCCCAACCCTTGTGTGTAACCCCCTACCCCAAACGCCTGCGAATGTCGATCTAAAGGGCCGCATATATCGACAAGTGTAATCAATTAAATTGTTAACGAGTCTCTCGATTCAATCAGCTTTTGTTCCCGGACTGTGATATGATCTGTTTGTAGTACACGTAGTCGTTGTTATTGTTCTGCACCCCACCCCCCCTCTCCCCCGTTCGTCTTGTTACTAAATAATATTATTATCGTTGAATTAACTATTATCTTCGTGTTCAGTGGGTTTTATCGACAACCCCCCTCCCCCTCAATCCTCCTACACCCCAGTTCCCAGTCATCCCGAAAGCGTAAATAAATTTTCGAACGTATCGCGAATATGTTACGACGCGCGAATCGATCTAAGGCGAATTGGAAGCTTCGGTGAGATTAAGGACGATCGGTTCTATCGGTTGTACTGATTGGATCTTTTATGATTAGGGAAGACACAGTTTGTGTTCGAATCCGAAAAGTCGAACATGCATAACCAATTGCTGAAGCAGATCCAGCAGGGTGTAGCGCTGAAAAGGGTGCAGACCAACGACAGGTCGAAACCCATGTTAGACGGTTTGAGGAAGTTCCGGAGGCAGTTGACGATAGAGGAGCAAATGCAGAAGGCTGACGAACCCACCGACGACTCGATTTCGGACGACATGGACGACATTGATGCAGTAAGGGACGACTTGCAAAGTACCAAGCAAATGCTTGCACTGGAACTTAGAAATAAGGAAGCTTTGGAAAGGGAAAACAAGAGATTACAAGTAAACCATTCTTTTCGATCGTTTCTAAGTTCGGTTGATGTAGATCCGACCGGATGTAATGATTTCTTTTGGAACATCTTTCGCAGCAAAGGATTTTAAATCTCGAGGCGGAGGTCGATCGGGAGAAGTCGAAGAAGAACGCCGTGGGGCACAGTAAACACGACGAGAAGCTCACGGAATCGTTGAAACAAACGGCTCTGCAAGCCAGGAAAGACGCCGAGAGGCTCGAGAAAGAATACATCAACGTGGCGGAGGAAAGGGACAAAATGAAGAATGAACTGGAGGAGATGAAGAGAATGTACACCGCTTTAGAGAGGCGCATGAAAGCCGGTAAGGGGCATTTTAGATTGCCGCTATCTAACGATCATTCGTACTTTACACAAGTAAATAACAAAGAAACTTTAAGCTGGCGATTATTATTTGCATAGCGGCTATTAATCTTTTAACACTGCACTTAATTCGTTAATGATGTCAAGTTGCTTGTGCTTGTGCTAATGTCGCTTTATTCTCCGCTTTTCGGATCAGAGCAAGAGCTTGAGGCTGAACCGGTAATAGAGCTAGCAGACGATAGCGACGAGGCGACTTGGTACAATGTTTCAGGAATGGCACTAGCCGGTTGTCCAAGTGCGAAGGATGTAGCGAAAATAGCTTCGCAGAAAAGCATAGATAAGAGAGAGCCCAGCGAAAGCGAAGACGACGACGAAGAGGACGAAACCACGGAGGAGGAAGAGGACGACGAAGAGAAAGATCCAAAGGCTGCAACAGAAAAACGATTGCAGAGAGAAGTGAAACTTTTGACGACCAAAATCAGAAATTGCAAGTGAGTATTAGTTAATGCAGATTTTCAATCTGGTTAGGTACGAGCGTAATGAAACTTCGTGTTTTGATTAAACAGAGATAAAGCAGGAAATGCTAGAAAAGAGAGACACGCGTTGAAAGATCAAATTAAACAGCAACAGAAATTATTGAAAGAGGAGAAAAAGAAATTTAAGCACCTACAGAAAGAAGTTGACAAAATGGCAAAGTTAATGTCAGAAAATGACGATGATGAGAAAGATGAAGAAGAAGAGGACGAAGAAGAAACAGAATCTGAAGATTCTGAGTCCGAGGAATCTGAGGAAGACGAAGAATCGGAGACAGAAGACGAAGACAACTCGTTGGAGGGTCAAAGAAACTCTTTACAGGTAAGGGTTCGATAAAGTATATGTGTAAGAACCTTTTATTTGAAATTTATTTTCACAGAAACAAGCCAAAAAGCACGAAGGACGTTTAGCTGCTTTAAAGAAGGGTAACTATTTACTCAAAGCACAAGTTGATAGACTGAAAGATGATTTAGGAAAGCAACGTGAAGAAAGTCTCTCTCTTCAAGAAGATCTTGACTCTGTCTTAGCAGAATTAGGTTAAGTCAATGTAAGGATCAGTAAAATATTACTATGGACAATTGTATACATGCACATAAAGTATTACATATAAAAAATATAGAAAACTTTATGTCTGAAAAAGCAGACACCACAGACTAATAACACGCACACTCACCTAAATGCTTTTCGTAGGGAATCTTACACTCAAAACAGAATTTTTTGATCAATTCATCTGCAGAGTACCTATAAATCTACTACCGTTTAGTATCGATTCGTATACGCAATAGTTTGTTTTCTCTAGTATCTATGGTAAATATTCGGCGTACGTAACAAGCCGGCGGAAACATCAAAACGTGCCTATCGATGAAAAAACAAAAGCAAACGAGGACGTGTAAATTTTCTATACCAGCGTTACATATTCGACGTGTTTTGCAGATGTGACAAGTATTTGTATAAGACTATTGATATTGCTTTTTTGCTATTACGTTGTAAAATATTTTTTAATAAAGACAATCACTAGACGACGACAAAGTTTTCTGATAGGTTATTACGAATGAGAAATCGGCACAACACTCACATGCTTATTATTGAAACACAGTCGACGAGCAGGTTTTTCCAGTATGTACAAACTTTATTTCTCAATGATGATTCTCTTTTTCATTCAGGATACACGAAAATATAAAGGAATAAGACTTAAAAAAAATACTATTACCCACCATTAGCGTGGTTTTAAAAGAATTATCTGCACACACGACGCTCAAGAAAATCCCTAGTACTGGTTCTCAATGCATTGGCGTCGCAACTACATATATATTTCGTATACTTGGCATCATGGATTCATGCCACGCGAAGGGAAAATTTTTTGCTTGAATTTCTCCATCCTCTTTTCCTTGACCTTAACAATTCGTTTTCAGTTGCCACGATTAAAATATTAGGTAACATCTTTATAATAGGCTATCAGTGCAAAGAATAGATTATTTCAGTATCAAGACCATTTAAATAAACTATGCAGAATAGCAATTACATATATTAGATCTTATTCTAAGAACGAAAGAAACATTTAATAAATTATTAAGAAAAAAATCCATGGTGAAATGGTCTAGCCATCTAGCGGTGAATGGACCGAACAAATATTTAATTTTTTAGTTTTAATTAAATCGTTAATCCAAATTTTACATTTTTATTCGATATTAGATTGTCAATTCAATGAAGAAATCTTTACGAAATACGTATCACATCGTTTTGGGAGTTAATTTCACTACGTATAATTAATACTTTACATATTTTATTGAAATGACACATACACACATATTAAAAGGAAACGATACGCATTTAACAATAATTTGTTCATTGCATTGATAACCTTGTAGCTTAACGTTACGTATTCAGCATTTCATTCGCGCGGGAAATGAAAGCATACCGCGAAGGTGAGGGGTAAAGGAAACTTGCATTCTACATTCACTCTGTATGAATCTGTATCATTAGATGTACAAACTACTTCTTTATAATTACATGGCTATTAAACAATTTTTTTTGTACTATTATACAAATATATAATAATTATTATACAATAATACAAAAAAGAAGAGAAAAGATTAGAAGAAACAATAAATCGCAAACTAGTTACATTACGAAAACGAACGGGTAGAGATGATGATGGTGTTTTTAAAATTTAAAATTATATTTGAAAATCAGAATATCACTATTGTTCTCTTGTGGGTTACATATTCTATACAGTGGTGTCATAGTTTAGAACATTATTCGTATCTTAAGTGTTTCTAAGACATGCTTGAATTATAAAAATGTACTCGCGGTAAACAGTTCGACGACAACGAGTATAATAAAATTATTGCACTGCGAGCTAAGTTGAAAAAAATATGCTCAGTTTTAGTGCAAACAATCAATGTGCCTTCTAGGCTGACACATTTCCAGAGAGATTATTCGATAATCGACGCACGACACTTTGATTACTCAACGAATTTGTGAGAAAACAGTGGCTTCAAAGTGCAGGTAATTAAACTTTTTTTTTTATTGCTCTCTATTATTATTATCACTCTGAAATTACGTACATAATATGCACAACAACAAATTAAAACTAAAAGGTATTTATAAAATAATCGTATGTACATTCGTTTACATAAAAACATATGACTTTAAGTTTAACATAGCTTCTAGGTCGAAAATTAAAACATTTATGTAATGTACATGTTGATCGGTGTAATATTGATTACCTATCTAATATTATGAAATGGTATAGTTGAATATACTTCATTGCGCGCTTTCATTTCTATAATTAGAATATGAGTTTAGATGGTCAACAGGCTGCTTTAGTTTTGTGACTTTCGCGTTAGTTAGTGATCCTCGCGTTCGAAATTTATTCAAACACACATACAAATAAATATACTTCTCTCTTTCTTTTTCTAGTAATATATCGGCGATTAATAACGTCGATATGCTAATCCGCGGAGTCTTGTCTAGAAGACTACGGACGTTAACGTTTATTCTCTTTACCCGCATTCGTGTTTTTTGCACCCGTATAGAATTATAAAACAAACACTGTACGTTCGCTTTTTTGGCAACGTGACAGCAAAAACTTCTATACCGATGCACCTATGTGTCTTCGATCTAGTAGAATACTGAATATTAAGCGAGTAATGACTTTAGTTACACGATCAGTGTAACGTAGATGAACTTAACATTTCTTTTTGTAAGCCTGTACATAACCTCAATGTGTACTAGACAGGTTAAAAATCGCTATGCTACGACATATTAATCAAACATAAGTATCATTTAAAATTTTCATTACTTATTTAATATCCTGTATTCGTTAAAATATCTCAGGAATATGCACAGAGCTATCCAGGCACAAAGGAAGACAGCATCTATGAAAATTCAAGCAAAGAAAATAAAACATTCCTTGGTCATTTCGAATCATTTACATGTAGTTACTGCCCAGATTGCACAGTGATATCGGTAAAACTGAACATTATGAAATAGAAATCCTACACTAGTCAGGTCCATTTCCTTACATTATGACGACGCAATACGGTGCTGATGCATTTTTACGATAATAAATAATTGCTAATCGATATTCGGCGTTGTCTAATCGTTTATCGTTTTTTCGTGCTTCTATAACGTGACCGAATTGTACTTGAGAAAATGTTCATGGTGGCCAGATATATTATTTCATGTAACTTTAACTTCTGCTTTGAACTTTTTTTCTTCCACCAGCTTAACGTCCGTTACATGCAAATTATGAATACTTTTCGCAGCAAACTTAATTACAGACTGCGTTGAAACTTGAGTGGTGTGTCTTAAGTCCAAACGTTTAAGCACTTTACATCTCACCAAATGATCTAACGTTGTCTCCGTGAGTAGTCTACAATTCGACAAATTCAGTGACGTCAGGTTCGTTACTGTTTGCGCCGATGGAGTTGCTAATTGAGCGACACCAGCGTCTGTAACCCTGCCGCAAGACGAGAGATCCAATGTTTCGAGATAGGGTAAATGTTGAACTATGTATCTCAAAGCTATGTCAGTGATATCGCATCCAGCCAAAGACAAGTTCTTAAGATGTTTTAATCTCGAAGTTTTATCGATTAAACCTGGTCTCGAATCTGTAGGCGGACTGAGGACTTCCCTTAAATTTGAATCATTCAGTCCAGACACATGACTAAGATCTAAGGTAATAAGTGGCGGGCAAGTACAAGTTCTTAAAGCACAGACTCCAGCCCACGTACAACCTTGCACAGATAACGTTCTTAGTTGCGGCAATCTACATAACAGCCAGGCTAATTGTCTTTTAGTGACATTTGTCCAATCGAGGGACAGATGTTCCGGTTGCCGGCGTATAATACCAGTTAAATGTAAAGCTGTCAGGTGAGAATGAGACATGTTCAATTTTCTCCACAAACTAGGATCTATGCTATATCTGGCCCATGTACGGCAAACCAAGGCACAATTCGCCAGGTCCTTTGCATTTAAAAATCTAAAAATAGCAAGTAATGCTGTTTTGTCATACGCTAAAGATTGTCCATTAAAATCGGGCCCTGGTCTTTGAACAGGCGGAAGTGGAACAGGCCTAACTACCACGTGGGGCCTCTTCAATGATTTACTACTTGAACCAGTTAATTGTACAGCTAATTGCGTACGTAAAGCTGTTCGCTGTTCACCCTCAGCCGGTTCTCTGTCATTCCATGCCTGGAATTTTTTTGTATAGAAACCATGAATATTTCGTATTCTTAGACCGTTTCAGATTCCATTTGGGGACTTACATCGCTGGGATCGGATCTTGAACGTTTACTTGGTGTAGTGGCTCGTTCGGAATCTGTTGTCGGTGCTGACGAAGCTGCACTAGATACAGAAAGTTTCCGAGCACGAGCCTTAGGTTGACGTGGTCTGCAGTCTAGATTTCGACCACTTTCGCAACATTCAGGGCACTCCCAACTGTTTGGTAAATCATCGCTAACGGTTATACTTTGATGGCTCAATCCTATGCACTCAGGATGAACAATGTCAAAGCATATCGAACATTCTACTAAACTTGACGGAGCTGTCGGTGTTGGTTTGCCTGTATTAAACATTGAAAATTGAAGTGCTTTTATTTATTATTTTAATAACAGATTAATGATACGCTGATAGTGTAAATACCCATCAAAGGCGCAGGTGGCTGTCCCCAGCCATCCAATCGACAAACTTTACAAGCTGCTGTGACTGGGAGCATAGGCCTCAGACATTGTCTCATTAAGCATGTTTGTTTGGCGCGACCACTTCCACCAAATTTCACCATATCTTGGCAATACATACATTCCCCGCAATCAGTTCGTGTACACGCTTCACACTTTTTACACCTAGTACGTCTTCGCCGCGGGAAAGCTCTTTCGGACTTTTCCTGTGAGTGATGCCTCTGTATCTTTGCAAAACTTTTCTTAGTTACTCTCAAGCGCTCCTGTTACGTAATGCAACAAGATACATGTGAAAATTGAAGAAGCAATAGACTTTTTCAATAAACATGTAAGCATTGCTTACCCTTTCTGCAATTGTCAATGCAGGCGGAGGTGGCAAAACAGGATTTCCTGTTACAGCTGCTTCTGGATTATCATGTCTATGTTGTTCAACTAGACATCGAACATCGTGAATTAAGGCAACAGGATCGCGGATCAGTTCAGGCACATTCTTCTTAGTAGAAGGTAGCAAATGTAAATACATAACTATTGCTTTCAAACCGTGTAATTCAAATGGTGTTAAGTGCAAATGTTGATTGTGTTGTGAAACTAAATGTTGACGTTGTGATTCGGTAATGTCCAGATGACTTCTGTCTAAGAGAACATGTACATACCTCTCCAAAACATACCTACAATAAACACACAAAAATTTATACATGTTCAATTTCGGGAAAAAATTTGTTTGCTCGAGTAATTTTATAATCATACCATAACATTTCAGTGAAAAATGGATATCTGAATTTTTGTGGAACTTTAGTGTGTTCTTCTACTTGTGCAACTTTTAGCTGCTTTTCAATACCAAAACTGTGTAAAAAATTTCCACCAAAAACTAAAGAATCTTGAGGCGTATAAACAGCATGAATCCAACCAGTTGGGATAAACAATGTCATACCAGCTGTTAGACTTATCCTGCCACATCTGTTTACCATGTCTCCAAAGAACACATCTGACTGTTTGCCACTCAATACCCATTCTTGGTAAAGAGCTAAGTTTTTATCAGTAGGTGGAATAAGCCAAAATATTTTTCCACCTCTTAATATATGATACCAAACACTAGTTCCTCCAAAGTCAACATGAAAGTCCGTGTAACAACCTTTTACAGACATCAAACAGTACTTTTGCACTTTTGGATACATCATGTCTTCTAAAAGATTTGTAGATTCCACTTGTGCTTCCTTCAAATGCCTTGGCCACACAACATCAACCCAGTCAATTTGTCTTACCAATGCAGGTGATTGTACATAATTTTCTAATTTGGTATGGCTAAATTCTAAAGATATTACATTTAATAACCGTTCCTTATTAGGATCTTCATAATACTTTTGCCATTCTTTCATTGTCATATCTTCATTCTTTTGTGTGTTAACATCCATTACATCTAATACTCTTTTAGAACCTGGTGAACAGATAATAAATGTTATTCTAGATATAATATAATAAATTATAGATCCGGATTCAAACTATTATTATGAATTACACTTTAAACATACCAACACATGTCCTCACATCATTGACAGAGAAATTTGAACTAGGAACCCGTAATCCTAGTCCAGATTTATCTCTAAAAAGTAATGGTATACTGAGACCATGCTTTTGCAGGTAAGCTAGGTTTAGTTCGGAACCAATCATTTCACGGAATAATCCGGTGAAATTATTAAGATTGTATCTTTCACATTCAATCTTTTCATCGAGTTGAAAAGTTCTGCGACCCTCGATTTCCTCATCGCCTATGGTCCAGTCATCTGTATACAACTTTCTAGTTCTTTCCCGCTATAATCAAATTTTCAACAAATATACGATATTTGTATAAAATTCACGAAAACATTATATAAAACGATTGAGGTTAATGTTAAATCGTAAAGTTATGTTTGGTTTGTTTACCAATTGACGCCTTTTAGGCAGAGAAGTAGAGTCATCGGCCATTGCGGACACGCTGTCAGAAACGTATCACCGAAAACTCATCGAATATTCGAAATATGTTGTTTTATAAAGGTCAGAATAGTTCCTTTAATATTACATAAACGAAATCTCGTTTATTATTTACATGTCACGCGCGATAGCCTAAAGTTAACATCAAACTTCTCTTTAATTTTACTTTCCCAGCAAAACGAAGACGCCATTTTGCTGCCGGCCAATGCTACCAATAAGTACTATAAAAACTGTTTCGAATGGTATTAAATTGTACATATTCCTACATATATTTTAATTTTACATAGCATCGTAATATAAAATTCTATTCATTCTGAAGTTACTATAAATGTAACGTTTTCAATTACGTTATCAAAAATTAATAGTAATAATCTAGAGACTTTGCGTCACATTGAACGACTATTGATGTGCCCTATATTGCAAATATTACGTTCTAGTTTCTAGCAGTGATGCCAGATCGAGCACCGGGTGCAATACTCACACTATGTCAGTTCACGCATACGTGACCTCGTAGAGTTTCGGAAAGTCGACAAAGGCAAACTGACACATGCTCTCTTTCTCGATTCTCCGAAGCTACCCGAAGTAATTTCGGATCGCCTCGTGAGAGTCGAGAGAGAAAGGCTCACATTAATTTTTATATGTATATTATTTCAGATATCACTTCTGATATATCTGGCAACGTGTAACCATTACTACTGGCTACTGCCTGCCTCTTCCAGTCTCTGCTGGCTTCTGCTGGCCTCTGCTGACCACTACTGACCACTCCTGATACTTCTGACAACGTATAACGATTACTACTTGTTACTGCTTGACACTGCTGGTCTCTGCTTGCCCCTGCTGTCCCCTGCTGACCCCTGCTGACCACAGCTGACCACTGCTGACCACTGCTGACCACTACTGACCTTTGTTATCAACTTCTGACATGATGTATAAGTATTCAAGCCTTGTATAATGTAAATCTATGGCAATAAATGATATAATTTAACAGAATTCTATGTGTTCTCATCATTTTTACCCTTCTTTTCCTCTCCAAATCATTGCCTTAGTTTTAAGAGACCGTTTTACCGGTTAATATTGAATTCCCAAAGTGTCCAGCTCTCTTTTTTTCTTTGTAACCGTCACTCTCGTACCTGTTGGCAAAATCGAGAATTCATTTTTTTCGTCAAAAAATTTTTGCTCGAAAATTTCGCCGATTTCCCAAAAAGTCCTGAAACAACTGGAAAGTCCTGAAACAGCTGGAAAGTCCTGAAACAGCTGAAAAGTCCTGAAACGACTTTTAATTTTGGAAATCCCGAACCAGTTGGAAAGTCCTGAAACAATTGGAAAGTCCTGAAACAGCTGGAAAGTCCTGAAACGACTTTTAATTTTGGGAATCCCGAACCAGTTGGAAAGTCCTGAAACAATTGGAAAGTCTTAAAACAGCTGGAAAGCCCTGAAACAGCTGGAAAGTCCTGGAATTTCTTGGAAACCCTGAATTTTTAGCAAAGTTCTGAGTTTCAGGACTTTCCAGTTGTTTCAGGACTTTCCAGCTGTTTCAGGACTTTCCAGTTGTTTCAGGACCTTCCAGCTGGTTTGGGACTTCCAAAGGGGTTCAGGGAAACCAAGGCGTTTCAGGGAGTCTTATAACTAAGGTAATGATTTGGAGAGGAAAAGAAAGGTAAAAAATGATGAGAACTCATAGAATTCTTTGTAATTATATCATTTATTGTCATAGATTTACATTATACAATGTTTTAATACATATATATCATGGCAGAAGTTGTTAACAAGGGTCAGCAGTGGTCAGCAGTGGTCAGCAGGGGATAGCAGGGGATAGTAGAGGCCTGCAGAGGCATGCAGAGGCATGCAGAGACAAGCGGAGACCGGCTGGGGCAAGCAGGAATCATTATACATTGTCGGAAGTATCAGGGGTGGTCAGCAGTGGTCAGCAGAGGCCAGCAGAGGCCAGCAGAGGCCAGCGGAGGCCAGTAGAAGCCAGCAGTGGCAAACAGTGGCAAGCAGAGATCAGCAGGGGCAAGTAATAGGAAGTTGTAATCGTTATACGTTGTCAGAAGTAACAGGAGTGGTCAGCAGTGGTCAGCAGGGGCCAGCGGAAGCAGGCAGAAGTCGTTAGTAATGGTTATACGTTGTCAGAAATATAAGCGGAGGTTAGGAGAGGCCAACAGAGGCTGGGCAGTCGAGACTTGGAATCGTATGCCGTCGACGTGAGGTCGAATGTTAGTTGTTCAAGTGTGAGGAGCCAAATGTGAGCCTTTCTCTCTCGACTCTCACGAGGCGGTCCGAAATTACTTCGGGCAGTTTCGGAGAATCGAGAGAGAGAGCATGTATCATTTTGCCTTTGTCGACTTTCCGACACTCTACGAACTCACGTTCGCGTGATCTGGCATTGTGTGAGTAGTGCACCCGGTGCTCGATCTGGCATCACTGGTTAATAGTCGAATGTTGACATATTTATTTGGAATATGGTGTTTTCGACGTTTTGTTTCTTTACGTATTCTTGAAATTATACATTGACTTTCTAAAAGCTTGTACCCACGAGTATCAAAATAGCTGTAACAGTAAGAAACTATTTTTTGAAAGGTGTTTGTTACAAACGAGTTAACCATGATGAGCCTTCGTGACAGGCAAATAAGTGCTTTAAAACAGATGTTAAACTTAAATCAAGCTGAACAAAAATTAGAGGAAGCAATACCGACATGGAAGCTTTTAATTTATGATAGACTTGGTCAAGACATTATTTCACCTTTAATATCTGTGAAGGAACTCAGGGAGCTTGGTATTACACTCCATATGCAATTACATTCCGACAGAGATTCTATTCCTGAGGTACCAGCTATTTACTTTTGTGCCCCAACGGATGAAAATCTTGGTAGGATCGGTCAAGATTTACAAAATGGTTTATATGATATATATCATTTAAACTTTATATCACCGATATCTAGACAAAAAATGGAAGATTTAGCAGCTGCAGCATTACTTGGAGGTGTAGTGTCAAGTATCCATAAAGTATTCGATCAATATTTAAATTTTATATCACTAGAGGATGATCTATTCATTCTCAGACATCAAAATAGCGATGTCATATCATATCATGCTATTAATCGTGGTGAAATAAAAGACACTGAAATGGAATCGGTAATGGAAATTATAGTTGATTGTTTATTCTCTGTGTTTGTTACATTGGGAACTGTTCCAATTATAAGGTGTCCAAGAGGCAATGCTGCAGAAATGGTTGCTAAAATGGTCCATAAAAAGTTAAAAGAAAATGTTTGGGACCCAAGGAATAATTTATTTGAAAGTAAAACGACTGGTCACTATAGTTTTCAAAGACCACTTCTCATCATATTAGATCGTAATGTAGACATGGCTACACCCTTACATCATACATGGACCTATCAAGCACTGGCACACGATGTATTGGAAATGGCATTAAACAGATTAGTTGTCGAGGAAAATGTAGGAAGATCTCCTGCAGGTGGAACACGTTCAAAAACTAGAGCCTATGAACTAGATAATAGAGACAGATTTTGGTACCAACATAAAGGTAGCCCATTTCCTAGAGTAGCAGAAGCCATACAGGAAGAATTAGAACAATACCGTACTTTTGAAGAGGATGTTAAGAAACTTAAATCTACAATGGGTATAGACAATGAGAATGAGGTAGCAATATCAATGGTGTCTAGTAATACAGCACGTTTGACCAGTGCTGTAAATTCTCTACCACAACTCATGGAAATGAAACGCTTAATCGACATGCATACATCAATTGCAACAGGTATTTTAAATTTTATAAAATCTCGAAGACTGGATACATTCTTTGAATTGGAAGAGAAAATCATGAGTAAGCAAACATTGGATAGAAGTGTACTTGAAACAATAAGTGATCCAGATTGCGGTACTCCCGAAGATAAATTACGTCTTGCTATTATATATTATATTTGTACAAACATGTCAGATGCTGACTATAATCAGCTTGAAGCAGCATTGACCACTGCTGGATGTGACTTAAATCCCTTAATATATACAAAAAGATTGAAAAGTTACACCAGAATAGCAGAAATCCAAAATAGTTACGAAGGTGGTGGAACTAAAACAGTTAGTATGTTTTCAAAGCTTATGAATCAGGGATCATCGTTTGTAATGGAGGGAGTTAAGAATTTAGTTGTTAAGAAACATAATTTACCTGTTACAAAAATAGTCGACGAATTAATGGAATCTCGACAATCATCGCAAACGGATGATTATTGTTACCTAGATCCGAAACAGCGGAAGCAAACGGAAGTAATGCCAAAGAATCGACCGACATTCCAAGATGTAATTGTTTTTATCGTTGGCGGCGGAAATTACATAGAATACCAAAATCTAATGGATTATGTGAAACAGAAAAGTGGGGCAGGGGTTTATAAACGAATCACGTATGGTTCAACAACGTTTATTAACGCAAAACAACTGCTCAAGCAGCTCTCGTTACTTGGGCAAGAAGTTCACTCGTAATTCTTGCAAATTATACAATTGACATTCGACAAAAATGTATATTTATCGTCTCATTTCTTATGGCGTACGCTAATTTTTCCTATTGTTGTTAATGCCTTCTTGTAAAAATGTAAAATAAATAAAATGCGATTAATTATTTTAGATACAATTTTTCTAGGTATATTTACCCGCCCTCTATAATTTTCGTGTTTGAATTTGTTAGAACATTCTATCGCGTCGTTAATTCTGGGGACTTTTTAACGGTAAGAAAACAAACCTGTATTTCAAATTGTTTGATCAATGAGTGCACAATTAACTAGCGTCGTTTTGTGCTCTATTAAAAATTCACTCCGTACTATATAGAAATATTCAAATCCTTCGGCATCGAGTTCACTAAAATTAAAAATGGCGTCGAAACAGGAAGGAGTAAAGAATTTCGTACGGCGAGCTGTTATCGTGACAGACCCACAGAAAGCTGTCACGGAGTTCTTTTTGTCTAAGCAAGAAGACCGGAATATTAAGTAACGTTCCACATCAATGCAAATTATTTTTTACGGTTGATGCATGATACGTTATATCTACTTTCTGTATTCTTTTATTTTGCATTTGGTAACAAGTAGAAGTATGTTTCTTTCGAATAAGGAGAATCGTATGCTCTTTGATGCGTTAGAAAGTATCCCGAATGGGATAAACCAAGAAGTTTTCCGGCGTCGAAAGTGGTGAGGGCACATTCTGAATTGGAAAAGATCAAAGAGGTATTGCGCGCGAAATGGGCCGAACAAGAGGAAAAGCGGGAATACATGGACGAACAGTGGGAAGGGATGAGGCAGCGGGAATTAATTTTTCGAGAGTCGTTTATAAAGTTCAATAGATTTGTCAGGGAGAATCAGGAGAAACGGGATCGGGCGGAAGTTAGAATTAAAGAAGAACGCGAGCGTCAACGGGGACGACAGGAAGAAGTAAAATATTAAAATAGAGTTAAATAAAAATCGCTTCGAAAGAGAACTGTTTACTTAACGAAGGGCATGGTTTTCAGATCGAGGACTTGACCAAAAAGCTGAGTCACTTGATAAACGTTCGAGAAAAAATGAAGGAATACGTAGAGAAACATAAAAAGTATCAAAATTATTTAGAGAGAGTGATCCTCGAGACAGGGGAGTTCCAATCGATCAACGAGATCTTTAATCGTTACGAGACTTTAATCGAGGCAAGATTGATATTGTCCGAGCATCAAGACAAGAACCTTCAAGCGTTGGAGGAGACGGGAACGGAAATAGTAAACGCTTTCTTTCAGTATGAACTACATTACCGTCGCGTTTGTAATTACAGTTGCGAAAAGAACGAACCTCCATTTTGTTGCAGTATCAAATGACTGACATAAAGAGTCAAAAGTTTATGGGACTGAACACTAAATTGGCGAAACTGCAGGGTAGGCAGGACAGAGCGGAAGCGAAAGCTCTGAAATGGGAAACGATCGTGTCGAAAATAAAAGCGAGCGCCGCGGAGAAAAATTTGAGGCACACTCAGGTAAAAACGTGTTGCTGGAATTTGTACCAGCAGATCTGCAAGAGAAAGGGTATACCTGTTAGCGTGGGCAAGGAGGATGTCGAGCAACAGCTGGATCACATTAAACGAACTATTCTCGAATTGAAGCGGATCATCAAAGTCGCGAAGAAACGTGCGATGAAGGAAGTGGAATCATAATCGTTGACTGGCTTTTAACTGTTTATAAATAAATATATTTTATCGGAAAGAAGGAAGGTATATACTAATAAATACACTATTACTGTTTAAAGATAAATTAAAGTCAAATTACAATTAATATCTAATATAAGATGGTAGTATCTTTCTTTTGTTGTAAATAAAATATATCCGTCGAGTGGATGGTATAAGGCGGGTATTAAAATTCTGCTTTCGTCCATGAAAATTCATAAGAAACTAGTTTTATTGGTTGCACCATAGTTCGCGTCATTACGCCAACGATGAAACCAATCGCGTGTCTCGTATTTTGTGAGTGGTAACAAGTCTCTGCCCGATTAAAGAATTTTCTTCCATTATTTTATTGATATCTCTTTTGTATGATTTTTCTAGCCGCCGGTAAGTGACAGCCGGATATGTTATGCAGTAGATCGGAATAGTCTTGTTCGAGCCTTTCTTTTAACTTTTTAGTGGCTTCGTCGCGTGTCAGCGGCTGCTCCAGACCTTCGTGTACCATTTGTAATTCTTCCTTTTCGACGCATCTGTGCAATTTAATTGGTTTCGCAACAGTTAATTAGGATTAGTTAGGATGTTGTGATTGTTAAAGGAGAACGGAGGAAGGCGAGGAGGCTGTATACGGGATTAAGGACTTACAGGGCACAAGGTTGGGTACGAGCGATGTATTTTATAGGGGGAACTTTCAATCTGGGTCGTTTGTCTTCGTCGAGTCGCAGATGCTGCGATTTGGTAGCCTTGTCCATCCAATACACTTTGTGGAACATTTCCGTGATACGTTTTTCAATGATACCCAGATACAACATAACGTTGCTCGTTGTTATCTGCTCGTTGTCGCCCAGCAACTCTAAAATCGGCGCATTGTCGCAGCGTATCGCTTTGAACAGAGAATCTATTCCTTTCAGCAGCTTCTCCACCACGTCGTTGCACTGAAACAGATATCGCGTGCGGATTCGTTTAAAGTAGAACAAATACTTGTTTAAGCGTATTATCTATTTGATCACGGAATTCGAAATTATAGGCTTTCGATATCCGATAGGATTACTGAAGCATCACCTCTGTCAGACTTTCTTCAGCCGTGTCGGCGAGAGCTGTCTGCTCTTCAAGTTCTGTCTGAAGCTTCTCCAATGTCTCGGTTTGCTGTGCACCACGACGTTCAGTTTCGATATTCGCCTCGTCTATGGCCGCTGTCAGCTGTATCATCCTAGTCTGCAGACTCTCCAGCTCGTCGTTCAATTCGTTTACGTAACTGAACAAAGCAAAGTTCTCTTCTTCTTGCTTAATGAAATGCGCCGTGAGCTTGTCAATATCTTGCTGACCTAAAGAATGCAACAAAAAATTGATTGTCTTTAAACCCTGGTGTCGATCAGAGGAGAATGTTGAGTACCAGTGAATTCTTTGATCATCTGTAGAATTTGCTTGTAATTAGCAATCATATTTTGTTTCTCTTCCATCTTTGCTTTCTTCTCGGCTGCACGTTTCGCGTTCAGATCGGCCATTTCGCGATGCTGTCCCTTTACAGCGAGGAACTCTTGAAGCTTCATCTCGTTATCCATCGTTCTCTGCAGCTCGCACATTTCCGATACGTGGGCTTTCAGATCTCTCATTCCCCTTCAAAGAAACGAAGTTTCTGTTACACGATTATATATCATTACCGGAAGTAAAGAGAGCGCAACCGGTTCCAAAGTTTCGACGAATAAAATATCGAATAAACGATCGAGAAGCGAGATCACCGGATATTACCACGCGCCAATGAATCCCGATCGTTGCTCTCGGTTCCGAGTTTCTAATTCAGCGACCGATACATAATTCATACCGGGCGAAATGCGAATAACTTTCAGGTTGTTAATGCAATTCTCAGAATTACGAGGCCAACGATCCGATATTTCGTAGCTCCTGCCAGCTAATTGGGCAAAAGTTGTTACGATCTCGTACCTCTCGCGAAGGGCTTGAATCTTGTTCAATTCCTCGTCCCTTTGATTGAACGCGATGGTAGCCTGCTCTATCAGATCGTTGATAATTTGCTTCCCACTGTTTAATTGGCCGATCAATTTGTTCCAAATCGTCGTAAATTGCGCCCTCTCCTTGAGCAACTCGTCGATCTCGTTCCGTAGTTTCTCGTTTTGAGCGATCACGAGGTTGAACCTTTTCGTCGCCACTTCAAGGCGATTCTCCAACACCGTCATCGTTTTATCGCGTTGCAAAGAAATCTCGTTGAGTTGCGCGTCCGATCGGACTTTCATTTTCAAGCTCGTAACTTCCTTCGACAACTAAAGAAGATTGGCTGTTTATTTGAACAGTTGCACGCTGCAGCCGTAACAGCTAGCGATTTACGAACCTCGTTTATGTGAACGTCTAGCTCCGCTATTTCCTCTTTCTCCGCTTTAATCGTGTCTTCGTACTTCGATTGCAGCGTTAAAAGACACTTCAACTTCTCCTCCAATTCTTCGTCCTCGCGAGCGAACGTTTTCGAGTTCGCGGTCTTAATGCGAAGCACAAGCTCTGCCTTCTCGATCTCCAAACGATCGACCATGTTCAATTGATTCCGAAGCTGCAATCTCGCATCCCCCACGCAAGCTGCTCGATCATTCTCCATTATTCTGTACTGTCTCTTCAGCCTCGAAAGTTCGGCCTGCGCCATCGTCTCGAGCTCCTGCTCGTCCGGTGTGTGATGTGGCTTCTGCGCCATTTTCAAGCTCTACTTTTGACACCTGTTACCTTGACAAATTTTAACGGTACACCAGCCCCATTATACGCGTTGAATTCTTACTTTAAACAATGACAAACAGAAAACGAAATGACCTTACGGATGGCGTATTAGGGTGTTCCAGAAAATATTGCGCATTTTAGTCACCTTCAGTAGTGGATCCTGGCACATGGAAGTCTAAAACTAATTCTCATCGTAACTTTGAACGGAACTTTTCTTTTCTGAAATATTTTATAAAAGGTAAACAGTTATTATCAGGAAAATATTCTATTCTCCTCGAGACAAATACATTTATCCGATTGCAATAAACCATATCATTTTGAAACGTGCAATATTTTCTGAAATACCCCAATAGAACAATATGCAATTTTATTTGCAGAAACTTTATTTGCGTACTACTTGTAAACTAATAGGTTATCGCGACTCACTATTTATTAAAACATTCGCTGGAAGCTGTGCCCGCAGGATCAATAAGTTTTGTGGAATTCAACGTAGTCTTCGTTTGTATCTTCCACGCCTTCCACGTCGATGATCTCGAGGACCCACGGTGGGGAGGAAAACACTCTCCAGACGTGATGCTCGATGACGTTCATCGGCGACATTTGAGAAAGACATCTGCCACCCTGTATAGCTTCGCCAGCTGTATGCGTGGCAGCGTTGTTCTTGTTGGTGCTTCCGGTTGCCAAGCACCCTCTCAGGTGTGTATAGCGAGACGAAGGCTCACATTTGCCTTCTCGCTCTTGAACAACTGAAATCCGACCTCATGTCAACGGCATTCGATTTGGAATCTCGACTGACCAGGCATTTTTATTTTACGACCCATGTAGGCTCACGTATGCAAAGTACCATAATGAAAAACAAAATTTTGCAAAATTTTTATTACGGAAATACACGTCTTAAGACTCCCTGATCATATTTTAATTATTGAAAAAAAAGAAATTTTTTTTATTATTCCTATGTATGAGCGTACATTGTATGCATATTATGTCAGATATACGCATTACTATTAGCTACTGCCAGCCTCTCCCAGCCTTCTCAGACTAATGACTCCATCTCCTCATTCTATATCAGCGGTTGCCCCTATCCGCCACCTGGGGGGGTTACCACCCCTGCCACTTGGACTACCAAACTTTCGAAAAAAGAATTCGAGGAGGTGGACTTTACCGACGAAATTAAAAAATTTCAAATCATTCTGAAAAAATTATATTCAGTTGCGGGGGTCGATTGCAATAATTTTTGGTGAATACACATACCCTCGAAATCCTACGCGTTTTCGAGAAAAAAATTCTTTTCCCGAAAATACAATGTAAAAAAACCTGGCGGGAAAACGTCCAAGTTTGTCGTGAAATAATTCGCTGTCTACGACGCTAGATGGCAGCCATTTTTCTACCTTTTAGTCATTATGCTTATAAGCGCGGATCTTAGAAAATACGGGAGAACTCAACCTGTGTCTAGAGAAGCTTTTATTATTCAGATTCGATGTTTAAACAATTTCCGTTAAACGTATCCTAGCAATAAAGAAAATGTTAGCTCCAATTCTTCTAATATGCCAAACCCTAAATTCTACCACAGACGAGGTCGTCTGTGTTAAAACTTTATTCCAAAGCGACGCTCGTAATCGGTAACAGGCAAGCGTAGGTGGATCATGCATTAAACACGATCCATAGATTTCGTGAGATCGAGTCAGGTGGCGGTTCGACCAGGTGGGTCAAATGGTGGGGGGAACGCTCGGTGGCGGGTACGGGCGACAAGGGAGAGGTTAGTATGCCTCCAGAGGGGAAGGTCGGCAGGTCGATTGTTTCGTACCCGGATACAAACGAGCATTCCACGTTAAGTTTCCTCGCATTTCCCGCGCGTCCGTTTACGATTATGACTCGAAAACGAAAGAGCAGTGTCGCGCGTACCGCGGCGTCGTAAAAAAAATAATGTTTTATGCAACGAGCCTCGCGAGACACCTCGCGACGCGGAACGATCGAAAAATTCGGATGGCTCTCGAGCGAATTTAGCGGTACGAGTGAACGTTTTCGTAGCGAGACGGTCCCGTGTAGAGCGAATTACTTTCAGCCGTAGGCCTCGGAGGTGGGAGGATTTCTACCTGGAGGTAGAGGAGTACCGAGCCACACGATTCCGTAATATTTATTTTCCACTGGCGGCCAGTGAGTCACTACCTGGCCGGCCACGGTACGGCGAGCTGGTCGCGTCGCGTGTCCGTGTTCCTCTGCGCGTGTTTGTTGCAAACAGTGTGTTCACGGTGACGTTTTCGAGCCAGTCCGCGACTCCGAACGAAGAAAGGACCCGCATACGCGTATCGTCGGATGTTATAAGAAATATATAAATCGAAATCTCGAGTACGATGCCGGTGGCGGTCGACGTCGCGTTTATCGTTTTTTAACGATAGCTCGAAACGATTCTAGCACCTGCTATGTCGCGAAGGTTACATCGATATCCGTAGAAACGGAACGCAAACAACGAACGAACGTCACCCGTTCGTTGGCGTGTCCGCTCGACGTTGGACGTGCCCGATTCCACCGCCGTGCAGAACAGTTTCTCGCTGACAGTTTCGATAAAGTTAACCCGTGCACTCATTGTTCACGCGTTTCGTCGAACGGTGGAGTTTTTATTTCGTGCGTGTGCCGCGCCTGGAAACGAGCCTCGAGGAGAAGCAGAGCGGTTACGTTCGTACGGTATATCGATACCCGTGTTTCGAAGCGCGGTTACATTGTTGACTTTCTATCGGAGAAGCAGGAATAGCTGCCTCGAGGTTCGCGTGTAGTGACGAGGAAACGGAGCAGAACAACGGAATTAGTCCCGTAACAGTTTACCCCGTTTTTTTTTCCGCGCGCGAACCCATGCATTGACAATCGATCGATCGCCGGTTCGCGAATTTTTCCATTTCGATCGGCGTTTTCGGTGTGCATCGACAGTGTCAAGATTCACGATAACGCGTGGAAAGCAACGCGAATTAATGGATTACGTCGAGTATAATCACAGCTGATCGTTTCCGGTAGAGACTTTAACGATCGTCCGGAGAACCTGTTTGAATTCCGATGGTATTGCGCGGCGACGAGGTGGCCGTCAGGGAAAAAGTGAACTTTCGTTTTGTATTTACTCTAAATCGCTACGAAACGCAATTTGTCAACATCGTTCGAAGGTGACCGCGATCGTGACTCACAAGATCGTCGATCTCGTTTACGTTATTCCATTAAATTTACGAAACGGCTCGTCGCGCTCGAACAAAGCCAAAGGCGGACGACGTTGACGAAACTATCTTCGATCCGTGGCTGATAAGCGACGTTATCGCGACACGGCGTTCCCCCGAGCAAAACCGAGAACGAGTTAAGCGTCGCGTGCACACGAGCCTGCACATCTCTGTCGCGTGATCGATACCGTTCCCGTACACGCATCGATTCTCGATTTCGCCTCGAACCGGTGCCAATTTCAAAACGCGCGGGAAACGCCTGACCGTCGCGGTGCTCCTCGAACGTACCCTTCCGGCTATGCATGAATTTTTCAACGACGATCAATCGCGATATGAACGCCGTGGCAGCGAATCGCCAGCGGGGAAGTAGTTAGCGTTATTGTTCGCGTTACGTGTGTTACAAATGGTTTTGACGCACGACCGGTCGGCCGCCTGGTCCCGCGTTTGTCGTTATCGCGAATGACAGTAAAGGTCACGGTTTGGCCTGACACCCGACGTTCGACTGTGAACCGTACGCGAAACAGAACGCGTACAGCCACGATGCTGCCGAAAAAGGAAGGGCAACCGGAGCCCTACGCTCTCGAGGACATGATCTCGGATCTTCAAGCGCGAAGGCACTCCCTGGACCACGAGGACCTCGAGGACCCGGTCGAACTCTTGAAAAAACGCGACAGGGATTTGGTGTTGGCCGCAGAACTAGGCAAAGCCCTCCTCGAGAGGAACCAAGAGTTGACCAAGCAGAGCGAGGACCTCCGCGAAGAGTACTCGTCGAAACTAGAGGTCAGCGTTTTCGATATTAAAAGTAAATTGAATAATCTTTCTCCTCCCTGCGATGATTTTGAATTGAAATATTTCTGGCTCGCGCAACACCGCGCATCAAGTTGTCTTTGCCCGCGTGTTACGGACATTAGGACCCATTAGGTACCAGAGTAACCGTGAAATGCACGTATTTTTCTCGTAATTCCCAACGTTGGAAACATGTCTGAATTTCAATTGATTTCTTACTGTTATGTAATAAATTAATAAAACATTGTTAGAGTGAATCACAACGGTAGTCACTGTAGAACAATAAAAATTAGCCTTTCATTGAGGAAAGAGAGATAAGGAACGTTGATTAGGGCACTCACGAATCGATATCTCGAACGTTATAGTATTTTACTACTCGAGTTATCACTAGCGCCCGGAGTCGAGCACATTTCGTTCCCAAACAACAAATATAATGTTCAACTCGTTCGCAAACTAGCTTTTCCTTGTGGCTTTGCAAATACAAAGTGATTATTTTTCAGCGCGCTAATTTTAATCCATCGTTCTGCGTTGTATCTTCGCAGATAAACAGAGAATCTGATAACACAGATACGACCAAGGTAGTCTGTTTAATGCAGTAGGAGAAGAGGGGGCGTTGATTGATATAGCACGATAAAAACATCGTTTTTGCTCCGTGGTAACCGGTGTACACTCGGTTTAAAATGTTCGAATCGAACGAGGAGGCATATCCATCGTAGTAAATTGTTTTGTCAATATCTCGTAAATATCTCGTTTTGCTGATGTTTTAGTGGAAGATCGAAGAACGAAACTTTCCTTACCGCGGACTGTACGTTCGTCTCAGTTTGTAGCGTTTCGATTCCCTGAACATATTCAACGCTAATTACCCGGCCGTATTAGCATACAGCACGCATTAGCGGAATAAAATGCAACTGGCCATTTTTCCTCACTTTTCCCTGTATCTTTCAACGATATCAGTAGTATACGAAAGCGACGTGCAGTAATAATCCATGGTAGAGTAACGATCGCGATTCGCATTGCGTAAAGGAAGGTTTTATTAGATTAATCGTAGAGGCGTGGTTTGCGTATACAGTTCCCACGCGGAACGGTACTTACGTACTGTTTCATTACACTGAAAGCGTGCATCAAGAGGTCACGCGTTTGCCGTATTAATAGCATTGAAGTCTTTTGACTGATCCGTCAATGGCGTCCACGCGATCGCCCAACGCGTGGATCGTCGAAAAATTCATCAACAAAATTCATTCTTTTCAACAAAGTGGATGGCCCAAAGTCGAGTCTTAATATTGATGCTATTTCTACTAAATAAATATATCCAGATATGTTGGAAAAGTGTCGAGCTGCTTCTTTTCAAAAAGTTTGAATGTCCTTCCCATTTAAGAGAAGTCAAGAATTTCAATGTCGTGAGAGTCTTCATACACGTTCTTGTTGCTTTTTAGAAAAGGTTAGGGTTGCTCGCGCCAGACGTATTCATTATCTTTAGGAAGGAACGAGTCGTGTGCGTTTGTGCATCTTCCTGTTGGAGTTTTCGCGATGCCCCCGAAAACGATGAAAGTCGACGCCGGAGAGGCACGCACGCGCAGAAAACATTTCTCCTCGGATTTCGCCTGAATCGGGCCACGGTGGAAGCCTCTAAATTTCCAATGCAATTTTTACGAATCAAATCACGACTTTGCGTTTCGTTCATATTTATCAGCGAACGAAGAAATATTAAGATTATTTGGTCAATGTGGGGTGGTACGAGCCCTCGTAGCTTTTCTGATCGTTAGTCGAACTTTTCAAAGAAGAAAGAAGCGTTCTATGTATCGATCATCCTGGCGACGCGAAACCAGGACAAAGGATGGAACAGTGGCGCGTACGCGACCGTCTCTTTGGTCAAGGGTCAGAAATAAGGTGACAGTCAAAACGCGGAAAGATGGAGAAGAAGCGGGCACGCGGGCAGGCAGAGCGTGGTGCCGGGCATTGTCTTTGACGTTACGTTGCCTAAGTGACTTGTTTCCACGCTTTCGTGGCTTTCTGTCCGTCGTCGTGGATTCTCGAATCCGTTGCGCGCTGCTCCCCGGAAGGGAAAAGAAGAAACCAGCAACCCCTCTGGAGCACGCGTGACCGGGAAGATCGACGCCGTAGATTGACTTTTGCTTCCACGCTTTCGTTCCACGCAGCTTGCACTCTCGCGTGAGCTTCTGTTGCGGAAAGTATCCGTCGAAATCGAGGCACATCCTTTAGAAAACTGACCGGAGAACGCGAACATCACGATGACACGAACGTTTCGCGTCGCTCGGACGGTATTTGAAAATAAATGAAAAGTTGTGGATCACGGGTTTCTAGGAAGATCGTTCCAAGCGTCGCCAGGTCGTCTTCATAAAATTCGACGACGGAGGTAGCGAGATGTCTGTTATTATTTCTTGGTGGTAATTAGACGGTACGATGGAACAGTCACTGTGGCACGAAAGGAAGAAAAGCACGCAGCGGTCGTCACGATCCTTCGGTCATCGCGGCGGTTCTTTTTTCAACGCATTGCATTCCGGAAACGAGCGTGTGCTTTCTTTCGAGCGGACCTACGTGTCTGCCGCTTCGTTTCCGGACATAATTATTTCCTGCGTCGGGAAGTTCCTCGAAGATACATAGATTCTTCGAACGAGGATGCACGCTAAATCGAAGAGGACTGTTCGACCCGCCATTTTTCGAACTTCCGTTACGCGAACCGGGGTGCCGCGTTGGGAGGAGTGTCGTTATTGTTGCACGAACGATTGTTCGATAAGCGTACGCGTTGGTGCTACTGTTTCCTTCGTTACGCGCACGTGCGATCCGCGCCAACGATCATTCCACGGATTAATGACGGCTGACCGTACTTTCGTTCGGGATCGATGAGAAAATATTCGCGCGCTAATTCCCCCTTCGTTCTTCTTTTTTACTTTCCGACCTATGAGAAAGGAAAGCAGCGGAGTGGACAACTTCGAACCAGTTTTTTACTGTAAAACACGTTTCGAGACCTAGACTTGATCGCTAACCCCTGATCTTGACTATTAAAATAAAATACTTTTTATCATTTGGGTACAAAGTCACTTTTCCTTGTACGACGAGTGTAGCTCAAATAGAAGAATAGCTTTTTGATTTGTGCATTATTTTTCATTCACTCTCCGATACGATAGCAAATTTCACTTTCACAATGGGCCTCTCTCGTTCATAATCGATGCACGATTATGCATCGACGCGTGTGAACACGCGTAGGCACGACGTGTGTAGAATATGCTATCGCAGACGAACAAAACTCTCGTCCAGATACACGATTCATAGTTACTTTGCTTCACTTTTCGATCGAGTTCGTTCCACGATCTACCAGGTCGAGGTCCACGGATCAAGGAGGCCAATTCATAGTTTTTAATTTTTATTTCCTTCCTGGGCGTTGCTAAATATTCTCCACAGTCTGAATATTTTTGCTCCAAATGGAACTGTTTCTGCAAGATATTTTTCTTTCATTAGCGTTGAAAAATGCAACCGTGCATAAAAATTGCACAAGAAATCGGCAGCCCTCGAGCAAGAAGCTTTCTTGCTTAAAAACTTGCTAAAAATACCGGGTGTGCAAACACTCCCGAGCGTCGTTCTAGACACGGCGTGGTTTTTCTCCACGTACAGGCAGGCTGCTGTGTTTCCGGATGTTTTAATTAAACCCCGTACACGTTACTTTTACGTGTTTGCGTATCGAGCGTTATCGCACGTGCTGTATATCGTTAAAACCGCTTACGTAAAGACGATAGAAAGCATTTCGTGGCAAAGATCGGTCGTTTCCTTCGACGGTCGATTTCTTGCTCGTCCAAAATTGCACCCTGCGTTTCCAACTACTGAGCGCGTGTTAATTACGAGTAATTGTTTCGTAAACAAACGTTAATCGCTTAGGCGATAAATAATAAGGAATTCAAATACGAACGAAACGCTTTCACTCGAAGAGGAAAAATTAAAATTTAGAACACCGAAAGCTTTCGGTATCGGTTCCATTGTTAACTCGATTCGTTTGCAAACGAATCTAAAATTAGTACTCGTCGTACGTTTCTGTGCATTTAGGTTTCTTGGTCAGATTTTGTCAACGTTTCGCCGGGCTCGACGTCAAAGGGCGAGGGAAAATAAGTGGGTCAGAGTAGCAATGAAATCGAGCCGCTAAGTTTGCTTCTCGTTATTGTATAATTGGTTGCCTGAAAGCTGCCGCGGAATAATCGCTATACCGTGTCGGCAATAAAAAGCAACACTGACACGGCATAGCCGAGATCTAGAAAGCCAAGATTCCACGGACTCGCCGTAGCCGGCGACCTGGGAATCTCGAGCGCGCGAATTACGCGATTCGTCTCTCCGCTTCTGTTCCGTCGCTCACAGACTCTGATCGCCCATTAACCGATAATGCGCGATAATTAAGCGAGAGTCGACTTTTAAAGTTATTCAGTGCTCGTTGGCGTACAAAGTATTGCATCAAAGTGTTTTAAAAGCCGACGAATCATTTCACTCCCGTGACCTGTATCGACTCTTGCGCACAAGATCTGCTGCAACAACTTTGTGCTAATTAAATAAGTAATTCTCGTATCGTTACATAAGTATTTCTAATACATAATTTTTCTTACGAACATTCCCTGTTATAAAACGTTCTTGCGAAGTAATTCTTCTCCGAGCCATTGCATTACCGATTTTAGATAGCTGAAGATTAGATATCTCGTCGTCAATTCGCAGACGAATTGGTTCTTTTACCAGAATTTTGCTATCCTCTACCTCTCTGTGAAACGTCAACAGAGAAGAAAATACTTCCTACGAAAGTAGACTTTGTAACGTCGATTTGTAAAGAGCAATCATAGAAGATTAATTTCATACGGAAGGACGTAATTAATGTCTTGTGGAACGTCTGAAACGTAATGATGTTATTTAGTTTGCTTTTATTGAATATAATGAGTCTCGCGGAGGTGCGTTTATGCAGTCATCTATGCCGTGAGAAAGTGTTGAAAAGTATTAGGCTAGAA